CTCACTTGGTAGCCCAGGCTGGCCTCGAACTCACAGAGATCCGCCTGGCTCTGCCTCCCGAGTGCTGGGATTAAAGGCGTGCGCCACCACCGCCCGGCGAGAGTCAGTTTTCTTAAGGGTATGGCTCCTAGTGGGTCAACCATACCACAGTAGATGGCTTCAACCCAGGGGCACAACTTGGACAGGGTAGATTGTGGGAAGGAAAAGCATATGAAGTTGAGATGGGGTGGAAAAGTCGGGTAGGTCTGGGAGAAGTTGTGGGAGGAGAAGGGCTAAGTATGATTAATATTCATTGTATTGAATTCTCAAATAGTGAAGTATTATATTAAAATAAAATAGTCTCTCCCTCTTTTCTGTCCCTCTCTGTAACTGTCTCTCATATATTTATCAGTTCTGAAATAGAGTCTCATGTAGCCCAAGGTAGCCTCAAGCTCATTATGTAACTGAGGCTGGCCTTGAGCTCTTATTCCTTTTGCCTCCACCTCTCAAGTGCTAGGTTACAGATATACACAACCGTTCATAGATTGAGTTTAAGTGGGCATATGAAATAGTGGGTTTTGCTGTATTTTCATACATGTAAATCACTGTACTTTGCTTATGCACCACTCATTGGGACCTTTCTCCCTCCTGTTCATTTCCTTCTTTATTCATCCTGTTTTCATGTCACACACACACACACACACACACACACACACACACACACACACCTAAATCTGTATATGAAAGAAAACATGGATTTGTCTTCTCCTTTACTTACCCTCTTGCTCCCCTTAACCCTACCATTAGTCTTCTACTAAAATAATACCCCTCCTACATTTGTGTCCTATATATTCCTATCTGTCTATCTAGCTATCTATAATTTCTCAGTTCCCCATATGACAGAAAATTTGTTATTTTTCTCTCTGAGTATGACTTATTTTTGCTAAATATCATCTCCAGTTCCATCCATTTTCCTATAATGCCATAATTTTGTTAATATTTATGGTTGAATAAAACTCCATTGCGCATATATATATACACACACACAATATGTGTGTATATATGTATATATATCACTTTATTTACTCATTAATCTATTGTTGAATATCTAGGTTTATTTCAAAGGATTATTTCCATACTTAGATGAGATCAATTCCTCAAATGTCATGCCTGGCAAATAGTGAACATTCCATAGTTAATACTTTTTGTTGTTCTTTGCTGTCACTTTCTGATAACTGATTTTCTTATTTTCTCCATCACATGATGCTTACCCCCAATTTTCTTTGTTATTCTTTTCTCAGTATGCAAGAGTATACAGGAATATTACAAGGCATGGCATGGAATACTGTGCCAGACAGTTTTATGTCAACTTGACACAAGCTGGAGTTATCTGAGAAGGGGGAACCTCAGTTCCCTCCAGTGATTGATGGGGGAGGACTCAGCCGATTGTGGGTGGTGCCATCTCTAGGAAGATGGTCCTGGGTTCTATGAGAAAGCAGGCTGAGCAAGCCATATGGAGCAAGCCAGTAAGCAGGACCTTTCTTTGGCCTCTGCACCAGCTCCTGCTTCCAGGTTCCTGCCCTATTTGAGTCCTTGTCTTGTCTTTCTTTGATGGAAGCCAGATAATATGGAAGCCAGATAAGCCCTTTCCTCACAAAGTTGGTCTAGTTGTGGTATTTCAACATGGCAATAGTAACTCTAACTAGGACAGACATTGTTAGTTTCTCTATATAAAGCTAGATGTTTCTGTTTAATTCCAATATTGTTCTTGATAAGTTTAAGACTTCTGAATCTAGATCTCTAGGCATGGCTTCCCCAGCAACTCTGTATCAATTTATCCATTTCAAATTACTACTTAAGTGTAGTAGGTATTTCATTTATTAAGTCGGTATTTATTGGGTATCTATTGTTATTGTAGGTGTGAAATATGCATAAATAGGAAAACCAGAGATTTTAATCTTTATGTATTTATACTCCAAAAACAGGTTCCTGAAATATTCTTGACATATATAATAACCCCCTCAAAAGACTGCTGGCAATGGTCGCGAGACGGCAGGAACTGACCTACTCTGGTGATGGGATGGACAGACACCCAGATAGTGGTGCCATAAACCCCATCCAAGGACTGAGGAATCTGAAGGCAGACATCCACGGCTGGGCCCCTGGTGGAGCACTTGGAGTCTAATTAGTGAG